GTCTGGTACGGGCGCAACACTGAGGGTTGCAGTCCATTGCCGGACACGAAAAAAGACAAAAAGACAAAAAAAAAAAAAGGAGCCTGGCACCTCCCCTCTCTCTCTTGCTTCCTCTTGCCATGTGATCTCCTTGCACCCGCCGGCTGCCTGCCACTTTTTGCTACGAGTAGAAGCAGCCTGAGGCCCATGCCTGATGCAGCTGGCCCAGAATCGTAAGCCAAATAAACCTCATTTCTTTATAAATTACCCAGTCTCAGGTATTCTGTTATAGCAACACAAAACGGACTAAGACAGCTGTGCAGTTGTGGTTTGGAGTTTCCCATGAGGCTGCAGTGGAGACCTCAGCCAGGCCTGGTCATCTGACAATCCACCCCCACAGAGGCACACTCATGTGGCTGGCATGTCAGTGCTGGCTGTGGGCGTCTTCCTGGGGCTCCTGGAGCATCTCCACACAGCATGACTCTGCCCCTGCAACCCCTCAGAATGAGCAATCTAAGAGACCGAGGCAGGAGCTGGGATGCCTTTGGTGACCTTGTCACACCTGTCACTTCCTAGTGACACCCAGTTCAGCTGACTCAGCATGGTGGGGGACTGCACAGGGAGAGCACCAGGAGACAGAATCACAGGGGAGCGACCTGGAGGCTGGCTGCTACACTTACTGGGGCTGGTGGGGACAGGGCCTGAGCCAACGGGTGGTCCCTGTCTTCACCGAGGGCATTGGAGGTTAATAACCAGAGCCAGCCCACAGAATGGTGCAGAGAAATGTGTTGGAGGGATGAAGGAGGGTCTGGGTGGGCGGGAAAGAGGACAAGTGGGGCTGGATCACCCCCAGAGAAAGGGCTTTGCTGCGGGGAGAGCGGGAGGGGGACGTTCCATGTGGGAGGCGGGCACCTCTCGATCAGGGCTTTCATCTGGCTGCAAAGAATCCCGCTCAGCACAGTGGACCCTGGCTGTGGGGACCGACCACCGCAGGGGACTGGATCTGGCTACTCTCTCCCTCCTGCTGTTAAGTAACCCGGCACCTCATAGGCCTGCTGTCACATTGTCTGTTCTTAGCAACCTTAAACCACTTGCTGTCTCTTCCCTGGGGGCACTTATCTGCCTTTTAACCTTGGCCTCACAGCCTGGCCATCCAGCAAAGCGTGAGACAAGACAAACCCCTGGGGCCAATCGCTGTGGGGACTGGCCAGAGAGTCGGGGATGTCGACAGGCCTCACCAAGTCCCATACCCACCCAAGCATGTGGCTGCGAGCCGCGAGGTGGGCAGATCTGTTCTAGAAGGGAAGGGGCAAGCGGCACCCTCCCGGTGCCCTCCCTCAGGGAATTCTGGAGGTGCCAGCAGCCACCAGTGTGTTTTCACCAGCATCCCATCCCCAGAGCCCAAGCCCTTCTGCAGCCAGAGGGGCCTGGGCTTAAACTCACACAGTAACAGTCTCCAGCAAACCACAGGAGAAGCTTCCTCAGCAGTTACTATGGGGCTGACAGCAGGGAGGTGAGGCCCCAAAACCCTTCTTCTCAAGCTGAGAAGACCTGCTCACAAAGCCAGCCCCCAGATCCAGCGTGGAGGCCCAGGGCTTCCTCCCATCCTGTGTGTGCTGACCTGGGAACAAGAAGCAGGCGTGTTGTGTCTGCGGAAGACATCACCAGATGGACACAGACACACACGCACACACACGTGCACACACAGGGCATCTCTGGATGGATGGACACACACATATGCACACACATGCAGAAACAGACACACATAGGACATCTCTGGATAGACAGTCACACATGCACACACAGGACATCACTGGATGGATGGACACACGTGCACACATGCATGCACAGACACATACAGGACATCTTCAGATGGATGGACACCCACAAGTACACACAGGACATCCCTGGATGACAGTCACACATACACATAAGACACTCGCACACACAGCTGGCAGCAGCGTGTTTGCCCTTGTGCTGTTGGCGAGACATGGGCACGTGTCACTATTTTGAAAGGTTCTAAGAGAACAGTGGAAAGCTTATCCTGCACACAGCACAAGCTGACTGACTTAAGGACAGGTTGGCACGATGTTCCTGCATGGGATGGGAAATGGTAAAACACCAGTCAGAAGGGAGGGCCCCACTCGACGCCCAGCTCTGTGTTCTCATGGGCCCCACCAGAACGGTGCCAGTCCCCTGTGTCCCAGGGAGCCTCCTGTAACCTTTGAAGCAATAAAGGGAGACTAGAGGTGGGTGCTGAACCAAGCAGAGGCCTCCACCTTCCACCAACATATGTCCCGAGACTCGGGAAGGGCCCCGCACCCACAGTGGGGGTGTTTGGGGCTTCCGGGTGCTGCACAGCCCCCTGGGGCCCCTTCTCCTGCAGCCACCCCAACTGTCCAGCCACATAAAAATAGGCGTGCCCCAGCCTTTGTGAGGTGCTTGGGTGGGAACCGGCCATCCTGGTCTCACACGCCTCGTCCTTGGACAGCAGTGGGCCCGCGAGCTGAGCCCCACCCAGCCTGGGGTTCTGCTTTCTCTCCAAGAAGCCTGCAGCCAAAATTCTACCCTCTGCCACGCTGGGCAGCCCGGCCTTCATCCAGGCCATTCCCAAGGGAGGCCGGAGTGGCCCCAAACCTTCCCCTTGGATGGCTCCACCCACCCCCACCCCACCCTTCTGGGACTCCCACATCGGCCAGTTCAGGGTCCCTAGCAGGGCCTGGTAATTGCAGACACGCCCCAGGCTGCTGCAGAAGGGAGGGCTTGGGGGTCTGAAGGAGCAGTGACCTGCCCTGGGACAGGGAAAGAGGCCTGAGCGCCTGCTCCGTCTTGAAGCACTCGACGAAAATGACTCGCCAGGTTTGAAAACAAGGGAGGGGGTCAGAGGGACACTCAGCCCACTCAGCTCCTGTGCCCCTGCAAACCACAGGGGGTGCTCGGGCCCCTCCTCCACCTCCTGGCTACCAGCACCTGCCCTCTGGGGAGAGTGCACAGAACAGAGGCCGGGGAGTCCCGGGCCTGCGGCCTCTGACCTGCCACCTGCTCCTGGGTGGACCCCGACTCTGCCACTAACAACCTGCACGAGCTCAGTCACTTGCTTCCTCTTTCTGGACTCACTTTCTCACCTCTAAGAGGAGGTTAAGCCAGTCAGTCCCTAAAGAGCACAAATGGGTCAGGGGGCATCCCCAAACATCTGGGGAGCCAAGCGAGAGGAGCCTGCACTCTCTTCTCCACCCCCAGCCCCTCGTCACCCCCAGGGCTCCTTCCCAGCTGGCCGGGACTCCCTCCGGGGGCCTCTCAAGGGGCCGGGGTTCTGACCGCACAAACCCGGGATCTGCAAAGGGAAACAAGCCCTGTCCCCCAGCCCCCACCCGCCTGGGACTCAGATGACCACAGAGTGGGGGTGCCGGGCCGCTGGCTCAGGCCGCCGCAAGCAGGAGGTCACCGCTGAGCACCTCCGAGGTGCAGGAGCCCCAGGCCAGGGCCACCGACCAACCAAAGCTGAGGTGGATGCCCTGCACGTCACCGCTGAGCACCTCCTAGGTGCAGGAGCCCCAGGCCAGGGCCACCGACCAACCAAAGCTGAGGTGGATGCCCTGCACGTGCTGCGGGCCATCCTGACGGGCCGTCTCCACGAAGGCCGGGGGTGAGTAGCTGATGTAGACACCGACCCCTGCCAGGGTCAGGGCACCTGGGGAGAGAGGGGACAAGGTGACCACTGGGCAATCTAGTCCTGCAGGCGGCTCGCCATCCTGTCCCCTCTCCTGGTCCAGGTTAGGTCAGACTGACCCTCAGCCTAGCCTCTGTCCCAGATACCCTCTTCACCTGGGGGACAGACGCTGAAGGTGGTAAACTCTGAGGTTTCAGGTAATGGAGCTTTAAGGAGGCTCCAAGTCAGCTGTGAAACCCCAGAAACCTCACCCCACAAACACCCTTGCAAACAGCACCGCCTGTACCCCACCACAGTTCCCACTAACATAATTGCCTCCCAACACCTCGTACCCCCACAGTCCCCAACACACACAGAGCCAGTGACCTCTGCTTGGGCTCTAAGCTTGTCACCTGCTTGACCTCTGCTTGTCACCTGCCCTGCACCTCCAGCCCCCTCTTCCTCCTCTGTCTGGCCCTCCTTCCAGAGCCCTCTCCCTGCCCCAGATCTGAGTTACAGGCCCCCCTCGCTGTGCTGCCACAACCCCTGTCCTTCCCCAGGGACAATGCTCTGCTCTGGGCCGTCCTCCCGCTTCCCCACTGCATAGTCAGAGCTGTCCTCAACAGAAGGAAGACTGGCTTTGCACAGGTGGACAGGTGCCAGGTGACTCTTCCTCTGGCAGTTCAGGAGCCAGCAAAGAGCTGGGCAGAGGCCTCAGCCCCACAGGCCTCCAGGGCATCTTCCTGTCCGCATGCACGCAGAAGGGCTGGCCCAGAGAGCCACCTCCAGGTCCCACAGTTGCAGGCTGACGTCAGTCTGTCCTTGGTACCAGTGGCCCTGGGACCTTGGACTCCTATTCCAACACAGGTGCACGGTGTCTCCCGGTCACTGCCCAACCAAGGGCCAGTGACCACCCAGAGCTGAATGTCAGAGCCAGGCCTGTCTGGATCTCCTCGGGGCCCAGAGGAGGGGCACAGCCCTGGGGCCCAAAGTGCCTGATTCTCACCCTGGTCCTCTGCGATTACTCTCAGGGACCAAAGATGGGAAGAAGGGAAGGAGGAAAAAGGTGGATGGAGGGATGAGTGGGAGGGTTCACACAGCGACGAGCCTGGGGCTGGGCAGGGTAGCAGCGCAGTTAATGGGTTTAATTTGGGGAAGGACATGACACCAAATTGGATGAAGTGGGCTCTGGAAGAAGCGGGAATGGGGTCAGTGCCCAGCAGTGGGGCTGGCACCTCTCTTGGGCTTCCACGGGAGCTCTCAGGTAGCTGGGGCCCAGGACGCAGGAGAGCCTGTCTCGGTCTGCAGCAGTCAGTCAGAGCTGCTGGCCATGTCCCTGCTGCCCACCAGCTGAGCTCACCAAAGCCAGCTGCCTCTGTCCAGCCTGGCCAAGGACACGTCCCCTCTACCAGAGCGGGGGTGAAGAGTAAGCTCCCAGGTGGGACTCTCCACCCAGAGCCCTCTCCCGGCTCTCCCTGGTGATGGGAACCCGGGCTCCGCTCCTGGCAGACCTCTCTGCCAGCCTCTGGCCTCCTGAAGGACCCTTCCCCACTGGCACCTGCAGCCTCAAGCAGAACAGTCCCAAGGGAATTTGTCTTTCCAAGCCCTGTCCACTCCCTGTGTCGCCCCACCCCCATGTCTCAGGGAAGGGCACCCCAATTCATCCTGGGCCCCCATCTCCCTCTTACTTGCAATGCTGATTTGGCAGGAGTGGGATGCGGGGCGAGCTGGCCTCAGGCAGGTCCCCTTGGTGTGCATTCCTGGTCCAGAGCTGGTGCCAACACTGTGCCCGCTGTGCCTGCCCGGCCCCACCTGGGACACCTGGGTGGCTCCTGACAGTGGCGTGCAGTGGCCCACTTCCACGGGGCACCGCCATGCCCAGGAAGCAGTGGAGGCAAGGCTGGATTCTGAGTGACGGGAGCTGGTGGGATGTTCTTCAAACCAGGCCAGCCTCAGACCCCCGCCTCCCCTTGAGGCCCCTCTGGCCCTCGGAGCAGAGCACCCTCTGCCTGGGGAGGTTGCAGCTGGACGCCCCCTCAGCCACCTCCAGACCCTTGGCCCACCGGCTGGTGCCTTCATTCCTGGACACAGTGCAGAGGCTTTGTGTCACCATGAGGTCTTCTGGTTATCTCCCAACCCAATCACTCCTCCTGGTGGGTTCTGAAGGCCCTCTTAATGGGATTTTGAACACTCACAGATGGTGTCCAGGGCCAGGGTCATAGCTGACATTTGGTTCCACCTTGACTTCAGTGCTGGTCTCACATGGCCTTGACCAAAACCTAGGCCGCTGGTTTCCTCAGTCTTGGCTCCCAGTCACACCCACCCCTCTCTCCTGACAGATGCCTCCCAAGAAGTCCAGGGAAGCAGTCCTGCCACAGAGGGAGCCCAGCCCTGGGAAGCCTGGTCCTTGTGGCCACAGCTGTGACAGTATAGATGGCCTGAGACACCAGACCTGGCTCAGGCCCAACCCCAAAAAACAGGAGCCACTGAGTACTGACCCTAAGGAGCCAACAGCCCACCTTTGGCAACAGCCAGCCTTGGGCTGTTGGGGGAACTGGGTGGCCGGGGCAGACAGCAGAAAATGGCAGCAAAGGGGACCCCATGACAAGTTTCTCCCTGACGTTGGTGAATCCTTAGACCTCTCCAAGCCTCAGATGTCTCACCTGTATGGTGGGACCAAGGAGCCCCTAGGGGAGTAGTTGGTCCAGTGCCCAGCATGTAGTGAGTGCTAGATCCATGTCAGCTGGTGGACTGTTACTAGTGACCGTCTGGGCCTGGATAGGGGCCAAGGACTGATGCCCCTTCTCACCACCGTAATGCCTGGCCCTGCCCTGTCTGTGCCAATCCCTTCTCTCCTTGCTCCTCCCACCAGGACAGTCTGGGAACCAGAAGTGGGGGAGCAGCACCATGCCCCCCAGTGCAATCTGACCCAGCAGAACAGGTTCTGGGGTCACCATGGAGATCCGCATGCCTCCCACGCCACCCTGGTGCTCCTCCCCATCCCCTCCTGTCCTATAAAGGCCTAGGGCCCCCCAGGGTAGATCTAGGACAGCAGGGAGCTGCCTGCCATAGCTCCATCCCCAGGGCAGGCCCAGCTGGGCACCATCCAGAGGGGAGTGGGGCATGGGGCAGCAGAAGAGGCACCGCACTCCCAGGACCTGCAGCCAGCTCTGATCTTCTGAGCTGAGCCCCCCAGGGAGCCCAGACTCACCCCCCAGCAGGAAGTAGCAGCCGATGAAACGCAGCAGCAGTACACTCTGGGCCAGGGAGCTGAGCAGGCCACAGATCCAGCCACATGCAATCAGGACAAGGCTCAGGGGCAGGACCACCATGACGGTGCAGTGTAGCACTGCTGCCAGGAGAGGGGACTCAGGGGCAAGTGCTTCAGTGCCAGGAGAGGGGACTCAGGGGACTCAGGAAGGTCAAGTGCTTCAGTGTCCTGCGTGCCTAGAGGACAGCCATGTGAGGCTCCACCTTCTCAAGGCACACATGTCTGCATAGTGACCACCGGGCTCTCCTAGAGGCCACCTCTTTGCCTGGCACAGGCTTCCCAGCACCTGCGCCACCACTAGGCCTTTCTGGGGCAGCAGACACGTGCCCACCAACCCACTAGGTGGGAGATGCCCGCCAGGTAGACCAGTAGCCCATTTGGAAAAATAAAGGAGAGTCCAAAAGGGGGATTTGAGTGTCTGTGGGAGCACCCACGAGATCTGGGCACACTCGGAGCTATCTCACCTCCCCCAACAACAAAGAGGTGGGCCTTTGCCACTGAAAGGGAAAATGAGGCACAGGGAGGGCAGGACAGCCTGTGGTCAGCAGAGCACCAAGGTATACATGTACGGAAATGTCCTCTGGGAAGCGCAGGCACCAGCCAGGAGCAATTCTGTGGGGCTGGGATGGGGGGTCTTGGGACTCAGCCTTGCCCGAAGATTAAGGAAGGATGGGGAGATGGCCCCGGCCCAGGACTCACAGATGAGGTGCCACACCACGGTGGAGATGGCCAGGCCCTCGATGGTGAACGGGTTGATCAGGGGATGCAGCTGTTCTGCCCTAGAAAGCAGAGGGTGCAAAGCTGGGGGCTGGACATTGTGGGGCCCTGTCACATTCTCTCCCCTGGGTCTCCTGGATCCCAGGCTCCGAATGGGATTAGAGGCCTGAGACCTTTTGTTTCATTTATTTTCATGCACAAGTCACACCTGCATGGATGCTTAAAATTTCAAGGATTCCACAGAGGCTCCCTGATATGGGTTGATATGGGTCGCCCAAAGGGTACACGTATTAGAAATGTAATCCCACGGTGACAGTGTTGAGAGGGTGGGAAATCCTATTACGGTAATTGAAAGGTGGGGCCTTCGGGCAGTGATTGGATCGTGGGGACGGTGCCCTTGTGAATGGATTGACCACTCAGGGATCGGTGGGTGTGGTTCCGATGGCTTCATAAGCAGAGCGAGTGAGGAGTTAGCTCTCTGCTCGGCCCCTTCACCATGTGACATCTGCCTCACTATAGAGGCACCGCCAGGAAAAGGGCCTCACCAGATGTGTTCCCTGGACTTTGGACTTCCCAACCTCCAAAACTGTAAGAAAGAAATTTTATTTCTTTATACATTACCCAGTTTTGGGTATTTTGTTACAAGCAGCAGAGACAGACCAACACACTCCCCCAGGAATCCCTCAGGCGGGGTCCCCGGAGCCTGCTCACCTGTGGAAATCCCACCCTGCCTTGAAAGGAAGAAGCTGTGTGCAAATGGGCCAGCCCGGCAACCTCACTCTCCAGACCCTTTGTGACTCCTGTCATGGGGCAAGTGTGCTCTCTGCCCCTCACACGCGTGTGCACACATGTGCACATCGGGAGGTCTCTGGCCATAGTCTGCACAGTCAGATGAACCAACAGCGCAGTCCTTCCTCCCCCACCGCACCAAGGAAGGCACTGACACACTCATGCACACACACTCATGTCCACGTGTGCTTACACACCCTGACACGTGCTCACACTCTCATATCCACACACACATATACACATGCTTGCACACTCATACAATCACATACACACGGACACATGCTCACACTCTCAATCCACGCTCACATACTCACACACATGCACATACACATGGACACATGCTGACACACCGACACGTGCTCACTCCCATATCCACACACACATATACACATGCTTGCACACTCATACATTCACATACACACGGACACATGCTCACACTCTCAATCCACGCTCACATACTCACACACATGCTCACACAACTGTACATGCACATACACATGGACACATGCTGACACACCGACACGTGCTCACTCCCATATCCACACACACATGCTCGCACACTCATATTCTCACACACACGGACACACACACACTGATGCATGCTCACACTCTCATATCCACACACACATGCTCGCACACTCATATTCTCACACACACGGACACACACACACTGATGCATGCTCACACTCTCATATCCACACACACATGCTCGCACACTCATATTCTCACACACACGGACGCACACACACTGATGCATGCTCACACTCTCATATCCACACACACATGCTCGCACACTCATATTCTCACACACACGGACGCACACACACTGATGCATGCTCACACTCTCATATCCACACACACATGCTCGCACACTCATATTCTCACACACACGGACGCACACACACTGATGCATGCTCACACTCTCATATCCACACACACATGCTCGCACACTCATATTCTCACACACACGGACGCACACACACTGATGCATGCTCACACTCTCATATCCACACACACATGCTCGCACACTCATATTCTCACACACACGGACGCACACACACTGATGCATGCTCACACTCTCATATCCACACACACATGCTCGCACACTCATATTCTCACACACACGGACGCACACACACTGATGCATGCTCACACTCTCATATCCACACACACATGCTCGCACACTCATATTCTCACACACACGGACGCACACACACTGATGCATGCTCACACTCTCATATCCACACACACATGCTCGCACACTCATATTCTCACACACACGGACGCACACACACTGATGCATGCTCACACTCTCATATCCACACACACATGCTCGCACACTCATATTCTCACACACACGGACGCACACACACTGATGCATGCTCACACTCTCATATCCACACACACATGCTCGCACACTCATATTCTCACACACACGGACGCACACACACTGATGCATGCTCACACTCTCATATCCACACACACATGCTCGCACACTCATATTCTCACACACACGGACACACACACACACACTGATGCATGCTCACGCTCTCATATCCACACACACATGCTCGCACACTCATATTCTCAAACACACGGACACACACACACACACACAGATGCATGCTCACGCTCTCATATCCACACACACATGCTCGCACACTCATACATTCACACACATGGACACATGCTCACACGCATAGACACGCTCGCACTCACATTCTCACACACACATTCGTATTCATACACACGCTTGCACACTCGTCCCTGCCCCCCAGCTGTCACGCTGTGCAGGGGTAGCCCCCAGGCTAGCCGCAGCTTGCTGAGGAGGGAGCTGTGGGGACAGTGGGGGCTGGGCATCCCCGTTCCTGCAGAGGCATCTTTTCCTTTCTCCACATATTAG